ATACATACATACATGCATATATGACATACATACGTGCTTGAATGTGGGCGTACTTATGTACTTTCTTTATTTAGCTATTTCGTTCTTTCGTTCTTTCTATCTTCTTCTACTTGCACTTACTTGCACCCTGCATACTTGCATACATACTTTTGTATACACAGACAGGCAGACGGACAGACCGACAGACAGACAGATGGACAGACATAGACGCACCGAGCACAGGGGTTCCTTATGTCTTCGGCTCAGGTTTGTGTTTTCGCCCTACTAACATCACTACTTCGGCTTCGGGATACCCAAAGATACGCGCTCGATTGGGTTAAGGCACATGCATGTACGAGTGAAGCAAAGGGGTTCAAGCCCTTGCCGAGTCGTGCACCGTTTCTTTGAGGCAGTCAACGCAAGCGGTTTGTGGGGCCGTGGCCCGTGAGGCAAAGACCGCGATCCACGTGTTTGGGGGGTAGTGGCCAGCGCCAGTCTCAATTGAGAGCAAGGGCGAACTCGATCACGGTTGACCACCTTCGGATTCAGGTTTTTCGCAGATAATAGAGGGGCTTGAAACTATGATAGTGTTTCGGGGCGGAAATTATAGTGTAGGTAACAAACGGACGGACCACTAACAAATTAGCATGATTGCCTAGTCAGGCTTCGATTTTTCCGGATTTGTGACAGATTGCTGATGCAGGTGCAGGTGGCTGTGCCTACAAAGGTGCCACTTGCATATTTTCCGAACGTTTAGGATATTTATTTGTCCTTGCTTTTGCTTGCTGGGATCCCTGACGTCAGAGAGCCTACGGCCGAAACCGCAAGACCTTTGAAGCTTGCTGCCCAAAGACTGAACATGGAACCATAAACTGCGTCATATTGAGGACTAAGATGGGCTAAACTTTTAAACTCACTTTCGCCAGTGCGGGTGGGGTGTAAACCTCGGCTGTTGAGATGCTGCCCTGCAGTATACATGGGAGTTTCCGATAATAAGGGGCACCTTATTATTTTGGGGGTCCTTACAATAAGGATCCTACTATTTGGGGGGTACTATATTAGGGTCCCCTATGTTCGGAATCCTCCACATGGTTCTTGTAGGCAACGAAATCGGGGAGCTTCACTCTTACGGCGTCGGGAAATATAAAAGCAATGGGTATGAATGAACCATGGAGGGGTCCTTGTGATAAGGATCCCATTATTTGGGCTCCTCCATTAAGACAATTTTCTGAAACCCCCATGTCTTTCAGAACAGTTGGGGCTTTCGCGGATTTTGGCGGCACCGGCACCACAATCGCAGGACAACGAGCCGACCATCCATATACAAAAACGGGCATAGGGCCTTTCAGTTAGGGTTTAGGGTTTAGGGTTTATAGGGTTTAGGGTTTAGGGTTTATGGTACCAGTTTTCGTGGTTCCTGTCCCGGTGTTCTGAATTCTGGGCTGGCGCGTTCGCAGTCATTGCTGGGCCATGCCAAGCGCGTAGGAAGCTGCAGTGTCAGGTATCCGCCAATGGTGTTCCGGGACCCCGGGTTCCTTCAAGGAGACCGAGTCAAGTATATCAAGTTCATTTCTGGGCCGTCACGCCGATGTGGCGCCTGTTTCTAGTTGCAGGATAGTGCCGTGCAAGCATCTGCAACAATGTTCGCTTGTTCTTGGCTGTTCAGGCTGATTCCTGTGAAGTTGTGTTTATGAACAACGTTGTCACCCGTTTGTTGTAGGTTGAGCCAATGGTAGGCATGTTCAGTTTGTCATGTACGGATGTGTTTCTGTTGGCACCGGTTTGGTTGGCATGTTTTCGGGAGGCTCTCCCCGAATCGGTTCACAGTGTGCTTCACGTGAGATGTTTGCAGCAAAGTTTTTCACCGTCACAGCACAAACAACGACAACGGCGACCACGACAGCGCGGCTGCTGCTGGTAGCAACAACAATCACCACTCCTGCCACCTGCCGGCTGCTGCTGCTCTTGCTCCTACTCCTGCACCTACTTTTACTTCTGCTGCTGCAACAACCACCACCACTACAACGACTTCTTCTACTACCTCCGGCTCCTCGAAGGAGAGTGGGAGCGGACTGCATGGACGTGTCCGGAGGCGACCGCAGTGGCGAAGTTCGGAGTTTGTCTCCGGTCACTTAGTCGGAGTCTTCCAAACGAGTTTTATCTGAATCAAAGCACCTCAACGTTTAAGCTGAGAGCGTCGTTCTTCGAAGATTTTTGGCCAAAGTTCGGATCCGGGCTCGAAAAGAGTGTCGTGCCTGGGTCAGCCTGGCCAGAGTTTGCACCTGTAGCCTGTATTCTTGTATTGTTATGACACATAAACTCAGGGTGATGGCTTCTGCTATTGTTCGAGATATTCAAGTTTGAGAGGTTTGGGGCCTGGATTGTTGCGGGCTGCCAGGACTACACTGGCTTCGGTGGTTGTGTCGCGCTTCTTGTTGTCGACGAGGTATTCAATCAAGAGGTCTTAGGCTCCCGGTGCCATCCCGCCAGGTCGCCAGGCCCTAAAGAATTCGAACACTGAAGTTTCCAGGAGTGGGTTGGCTCCAGAGCCACACTTCGGCATGGATATGTCAGCCTGATAAGCTGGTTTTCTTTGCCTGAAGTGACGTATAATCTGCAATATAGGGGCCTTAATAATTACCTATGCTATTTTGGGGGCTCCCTATTATACTTATAGTATAATATACCCCAAAGCCCTATTCTGATTATTAAGGCCCCTACATTCGTTTCTGCCATCGCTTTTTCTACCGACCCGGAGCCAGCATGCCAAGTCCCACCAGCTTTCAAGTAAGTCTTGCAGAACCCAGCCAGATGGCTTCGGTTGCCTACCTGCACCTCCTGGTACAATGGCAGCACCCTGCCAGGAAGGCTTACATAGGATTGGGGTTTAGGGGATGTGGGTTGGGTTTATCCCGGTTCATGTGATTCTCTTGCTCATTCTCGGTTGCGGGGCAGGGTCATGTGAACCTTGTTGCGTGCTTTGTTCTCAGAAATAAGAGCTACTGTCCTCTTTAAATACATACATGCCAGGCAAGACCTTGCATAATAGAGAGGTCCGTGGGATTGGAAGGGTTACAAGCCCTAAACTATGAGCCCTTGCTGACTGTGCAAATCGAGACCTAAGCTTTGAAGAGCTCCAACTAAGTAACTAGATCTTCAAATGCATCTTCCTCTTCTGTTCACCATTTTCCTTAAATCCCAAACCCTAAACCTTGCCGCACGGTAGGTCACCCAGCAATAGCTAGTGCAGTTCAGGGTCTCGTGAAGCCTTGAGCACTGCACCAACTGTTCCCTGAACCCTAAGGCCTTGGAATTCCCAAAACTCTAATTACACCCTACATCATGCGATCAGCCAGAGTTCGAAGCCAAAGGAGTCTTTCACCCTAAACCATCCTAAACCCGAAGGACCAGAAGTCCATAAGCGAAGTGCTTAGACCCCTACAGGACCCCGTACTGCATTGCTTGCGGCAGTTTCGGGAGCCTGGCTTTTCGCACCCTGAAGTCACAAGCTGTAAATTGAAACCCCTACAAATTCCTTTCCCTCTCTCTCGCGGTCAAAGCGGTCCCGCAGCTCCAAGGCTAAGACAAAACCTAAAACTGTACAGATCAACAGCTGCCTACCTGCCTACGGATTCCTTTCCGACTTCCTCATGAGGAACGCAAGCCGTGGGCGCAGCCACCAAGGCCCTAAACCCTAAAGCCAAACTCTAGCGAGTCGGCTTTCAGGGCTTCACGTCTGACAAGATACACGGTGGACCCAGAATCCCAAACCCGCATTGGATCTAAAATTCTGGGTTTAAGGAGGGCGAGTTTGTAAGGTTTTAGGAGTCGCTGTGTGAGTTTTTGGGTAACGGCTTCTGGTTTCAGGCGCATAGACTTCAGAGTTTGCCTAGGCCTAGATTTGAGGATTTTCGATGATTTGTGCTTGCTGGTTCTCCTCTCCAGGCTTCTTGTCGCATGCCAAAAGACGCAACACGCGTGGGGCAAGAAGCGAGGTACTGATCATAAAGTTTAGCGGTACGTGAACCCTGTGCAGCACTTGTTTTGTGCTAAGCAATGTTTCAGAGTTGCCGGAGTGTCATGTGGGATTGTCGAGAGAGAGAGAGATAGAGAGAGAGAGAGAGAGACAGACAGAGAGCGAGAGTGAGACTAAGTTGATCCTTGGCATGATAGAAATGTACGCAGGATGGAAGACAGCACTGACAATGATCATGAGGAGCACGGTGTCTTTTCTTCTCATGTTGCAAACCCGTAGCCCTTGAACCTAAACCGTTCTGCATCATGGTCAGACGGCATGTGCAGGTGTGGGCATCTCGCCAACTGAGCTCTTCCTGGAGCCGGTTTGGGCTTTCGGGTGCGAGAGCTTCGGGGACTTTGTGCTCGTCATGGAGAGAGTTTATAACCATGAGGGCTTTTGTTGAAGGTAAAGTTGAACTGCTATAGTGGGATTTAATAGGCTGTTCAGGGTATTTGGGATA